GTGACGCGATTTGAGCTGGACCCGATCATGCAAGCCTAAAATGCATACAATATGCTAAGTCTAACCTCTTCGAGGTTTGATTTTGCTGTTAACTAATTTACAAATCAAAAGCTTAATGATTATGTTCTAGCATGTTAACAATTTATCAATATACAGGAAACCATTCTAAAGCTATTTCCTTTACACAAACCTAAGACAAAAAATTACACATTTTGACTATCTATATGATAAATCTAACCGCAAAAAAAAAGTCTAACCTCTAATCTGCGGAAAAAATCAGAATGAAAAGCTGAAAGAAGTCTAAAATGCATACCATATTCTTAGTCTAACCTCTAAACTGCGGAAAAAATCAGAATGCAAAGCTAAAAGAAGCCTAAAATGCATACCATATTCTAAGTCCAAAATCATGTAAACCTAGCGTGGTTGAGTGACAAGACGCTCAGATCTAACCGCAAAAAAAAGTCTAACCTATCGACTAACTATATAATAAATCTAACTTTTACAAAAAGTCAGATGTGACGGGTTGCGGAGCATCGAAGATGCGGAGCATATGTACATAAGATATGTACACAGATTGAGGAGCATCGAAGATGCGAAGCATATGTACACAAGATATGTATACAAGATATGTTCACGGGTTGAGGAGCATCGAAGATGCGACGGGTTGCGGAGCATCGAAGATGCGGAGCATATGTACACAAGATATGTAAAATCTAACCGCAAAAAAAAAGTCTAACCTCTCGACCGGTCTTGAATGTGAGGTTATTTTCATGGGCAGGTACCAATCATGTGATCCTAGCGTGGTTGAGCGACAAGACGCTCAAAATCTAACTTTTATAAAAAGTCTAACCTCTTGAACACATATCAAACATCAGGGCCTTATCCCGAAGCCTGTTCATATATTGGATCTGATAATGACCTCTAACATGTAGGCGACATCGTCCACAAACTGTCCCAGTAGGCTTACCACATTCAGAGCATGGCCGGCGCTTTTTAGCCCAATTTCTTATAACTAAAAAAAAAGGTAATTGAATAGTAGTGTTATATGATTAATTAATTTAAATTGAGCAAAAGTTTACATACATATTAGAGGTTAGACTTATTTTAGTATCATGGTTAGAAAAGATAAAAAAAATCGTAAATGTATTTGCTGTAATAAGACTTTTGCCACACCTCAAAAACTTCGTCAGCATTACAAAAGTAATAAAAATCAATGTAGATTAGCTACTGATGATATACTAAAGCAAGTTTCAGCTTCTGAGTCATCTAGTCAAAAGGAGAGACCTAACATGATTGAGCGACAAGATGCTCAGGAGAAGCCAAAAGTGATTAACTAAACTCCTGATCCCGAAGCTGGATCCGGTCCATCAACCCAAGATCATAAGGAAGGACAAGTGAAAAACCCACCTCATATGAATAGAAATCAGCCTTTGTTTGTAAGGAATGATGGTAAGTATTTTATTACTGACGAAAATGCCCAAAAATGGGACCAAGAGCAACATAACCCTGAAGAAACTAGACTTCCAACATTAATGGAATTGGAGGAAGGAGATAGGTTAGCTAATGAAAAGGTGATAGAAAACCTTCCACCAGAAAAAAGGCAAGAATACGAAGTAGAAAAGGAATATGCTAAAGGAAAGCATTTCCGGTCAATTTATGAGGAAGCAGAAGGAATATACAAAGAAGAGGAACCACCTAATAATGATATAATATTTTTAGAAAGAGAACGCGATCCTGAAAGACAACACAGCTCTCTTAATTGTATGACTGTATGGGAGGGGATTATTCCATAATGTAAAAATCCAGCATATGCATTCAATAAAGAGCAAGATAATGAAATAGAATATGCAGATGCTCCCTATATGCCTCAACTTATTGCAAAACACGTGGGGCAATTACAGAGTTTCTTAAAGAAGAGCTTCACAAAAGGGATCAAATAAAATCGGCATTGGTCATAAATGCTACATATGTATCATATACTTATAAAGGAACAGG